GGACGGCCACCAAAGCTGGCAGGGCCTGTAGCTAACTGACCTTTGGGCTGAGGCCTGGCACAGCTGTCCAGGTCCTGCCAGGACTTTGGTGGGCACAGACAGCCCTAACATTAGGCTTCATGTTCCTGGCCACGGCAACAGGGCAGCCTGCTGTTCCTCAGAGAACTGGGCTTCATGTCATGCCAAGAGAAGTCTGGTCGGGTCATCACCTGACCCCCACACTCTATGGTCCCCAGTTCCCCTGTCTGTGGACTGGAGGCCTGTATAGGACCAGTGTCTGCAGCCTTCCTGTGTAACTCAGGACCCATGGGTAGTACCTTCTTCACCTGGCCTCCACACCCCCCCTTAGTCTCCTGGCTCTCTCTCTTTTCCCTCTGGCTATGAGTGACTGTTCCTGTCCTGTGAAAATGTGAGCAGGAAGGAGCAGGCCTTCGGCCAACACTGAAAACTGTCTGCTGGGCAGTAATCTTGCTAGAGTAGGCCTAGGGGCTGCCCATAATACTGCCTGGAATTGTGGGATCCCAGTGAACTGGCAGGGCTGGCCAGGTTGTGCAGGAACCGGTCTGGCAGGCTGGGCCCTGGCACCTCCAGGAAGCCATAGCTGGGAGGGGCCCAGACTACTGCACAGCTGGCCCCCCACCAGCCTGGCACCAAGACCAGGCAGCCTGCCTGTGGACAGGGCTTGAGGAGGCCTCCCCTGGAGTGCCCTGAGTGACCGGCCCAGCCAATGAGACTGGGAGGAGTCACGGCCACCTGTGCCAGGCAGGCCCAGGGAGAGGGTGGTACAGACTTGGAAGGCCAGCTTGATTCCAGGCTGTGCCCTGGCCATGGTGTCCTCTGCTGACCCCAGGTGTGTCCTGAAAGACAGGCTAAGTGAGATCCCTATCCTTGAGTCTCTTCCTCCTCTCTCTGTCCCTCTTTTGTCTCCTGTCTCTCCGTCTCCACCTACCCCTCTTTCTATCCTACTGTCTCACTCTGAACTCTATGATACATACATGTTGACTGCCTTGCCATGATGTTCAGCATCTCACTCTCTGTTAAGTCAATGATGTTGAGGCCATCGTCCCCTCCCTGGGGGAGGGGACGGATCAGAGGGCAGAAGGTGGCACAGGGGAGAGACATTGGCTGGAGCCTCTTGCCTGTGCTGGGGGTGGGGAGGGTAGTTCATGCCCCTAGTTTGTTCCGTTTCATGTTCTTACCTGCCCCTGCCTGTCCCCAGACAGGGCCTGAGGACTGCTGGTTCCCAAGAGAAGCACCCATAGGCCCCTGCCATGCCCACCTATGCCAGCCAGAGAAGAGGCTGACTCGGCACAGCTCCTGTCCAGCAGTGCTTGTGGTCACAAAGCTACATAGCCCAGTCACCTGGTCCTCCCATCCACAGATTGAAGCCTACAAGGGCAGGACAGAGGGTATGGCTGTCATCATGCTGGGCACCAGGCCTCTGGATGGTGGTGAGGCAACCTCAGCCTAGGACCTGTGACTAACCCTGTGTTCACTTACCTTGGACTATAGGCTGGGCCTCATTTCCCAGTGGTCAGTACCCAGAGCAAGACAGAGGACAGCTGGGGCAAAGGATGAATCCCCAGGCTTCAACACTGCTCAGGAGGTTAGCAGGACCGTCTCACTCCCGCCTTCTGAGGCCCTGGCACCTGAAGGGCTGTGGGCTGGAGGCCAACCTCCTCTATTGCAGGGTGCTCAGAGAGGCAAGCCGCGGGCTGTGCAGGTTCTGCACTGGGCCAGGCAGGACCCGCCCCTAGGATTGGCCTCAGACCTGTGTCTATACATAAGGTCTGCCCCACTAAAGTCTTATATATGTGTGCATGTATGTGCATGTTCACATATGTGTAGAGGCCGGAGGACAACCTTGAGTGTGATTCCTCAGGTGGCAGTCATCTTTTTTTTTATTTATTTATTTATTTTATTTTATGTGTATGTGTGTATTGCCTGCATGTAGGTAAGTGCACCTGTGTTGTGCAGTGCCCGTGGAGGTCAGAAGAGGGCGTGGGATCCCCAGGAGCTGGAATTATGAACGGTTGTTAGCCACTATTGTGGGTGCTGGGAATCGGACCTAGGTCCTCTGCAAGAACTGTCAGTGCTCTTAACTGCTGAGCCATCTCTTCAGTCCCTTATGATCATAAATTTAAAGCTGAATACGATTGCTTAATTGGGGTAGTAAGAATGCACAACAGTCCTCTCAACTAACATGTTTAAAGTTTACAAAGTACTATTCCTGGGTTTTCTCTGGCCAATCCTGTTTCTCTCTGCAGTTTACCTCCAAGGGATTACTTGTGGATAACATGCTAATTTTTCACGAACCCAAGACCTCTGCAAGAGCAGTCAGTGCTCTTAAGTGCTGAGCCATCTCTCCAGCCACTATTTATTGGTCTTTTTGAGACGGGGGTCTCCCTGTAGCCCCAGCTGTCCTGGAACTCACTATGTAGATCAGGCTGGCCTCGAACCCACAGAGATCCTCCTGCCTCTGCCTCCCGAGTGCTGGGATTAAAGGTATGTGCCACCACACCTGGTTCTTTTTTTTCAGATTTATTTTTATTTATGTGTATGTGCCTGCATGAGTTTGTGTGCACTACATGTGTGCAGAGTCCAGAAGGTGTCAGATCTCCTGAAATTGGAGTTACAGGTTGTGAGCTACCTAATGTGGATGCCAAGAACTGAACCCAGGTCCTGTGCAAGAGCAGTAAATACTCTTTTTTTTTTTTGGTGTTTTTGAGACAGGGTCTCCCTGTAGCCCCAGCTGGCCTGGAACTCACTATGTAGACCAGGCTGGACTTGAACTCACAGAGATCCGCCTGCCTCTGCCTCCCGAGTGCTGGGATTAAAGGTGTGTGTCACTATGCCCGGCAGCAGTAGGTGTTCTTAACTACTGAGCTATCTCTCTAGCCTCAAGCTTTTTTTTTTCGGGGGGGCGGGTTTTTTAAGACAGGGTTTCCCTGTAGCTGGCCTGGAACTCAATATGTAGACCAGCTGGCCTCAACCGGAGAGAGATCCACCTGCCTCTGCCTCTGCAGTGCTAGGATTAAAGGCATGTGCCACCATGCCTGGCCGGAATTCATCTTGAGTGCTCAAATTTTATGTGCTCACATTATTTGGCATTGTGGGGGAGGGGCAAACAGGAGTGTCTGCCTCTGTCTCTGTCCCATGGAGGACCAGGCCAGGCCCAAAGGCCACAGTCCCCAGGAGACTAACATTCCCTGGTGTAGACACACTTAGCCAGGAGAGGCAGTGTCCTCAGTACCATGGCTGTCCCTAATGTCTTGGGGCAAAAGCCCAGTGTGTCACCCCAGACTCAGGAGCCACATCTAGAAGCTAGGGCAGGGGAGCCTTGCCTCAACCACCAGACCCTGATCAGCTGGCAGGTTTGCTGACAACTGAGCGGGAGGCAAGTTGTCTGTTTGCAGAGGTCCTCTGAGTGGAAGCCACTCTGCCTGGCCACCTTTGCGGGGTCAGTCCTGCTGTCTGCAGAAGAGCCACTATGACAGAAACCTTGTCTACCACATCCTGCATGGAGCAGTGACTACAAGTTTCCTGCCGTGGGTTTTGTGACTTTAAAAGCCAAGCATGCTTTTGGGGAATTAAATACCAAAGGGCGCCTGACGACGGGCTGGAAACCGGCAGCTGCTGCTGCTCGTTCCCAGAGATTTTCCTTCCTAAATTGAAACATCATTTTCTTTGTTTTTCTTTTGACAGAAATGTGGTTTCATCTTGAGGTGGAAAAAAAGAGCTACAGAGTGCTGTGCTGTCTGAGAAGACTTGGGAGGCAATGCTCAAAAGTAGTTTCAGGGTTAGGCTTTGTGTGACCCCCACAAGGCCCTACCTGGTCAGAGTGCCCTGTGGGCAGGAAGGCAGGGATGGCCCCAAAGACCTCCTGTGACCTGATGAAAGGTACAAGTGGCTGACCCAAAAGGCTTGGGAACTGGGAGCACCCCTGGGCCACCAAGCTCTGAAGCTTAAGCTCACCCTTCCCCAGGCTCTGGACAAGCAGGCCTGAGACCCTTAAGTTCATCTCTGAGGCTGGGGGTTCAAAACCCAAGCCACCAACCCTTACATGGGGCTTCGGAAAACAGAGAGGGTGGTTATGCCTTGTCGGAATGCAAGCCTGCCCTGGGGACTCACTGGCTCAGCTTCCCATATCCCAGGACTTTAGAGACACCATGTCTCTAAAGGGTGCAGTGCCAGGCAGATGTGGGGGGTGAAGAAGGGCACGGGGTAGTGGGGAGTAGCTTGTCCCATGCGTGCAGAGAAGTCACTGGGGAACATGCAGACTATACTTGGGGGTATGGATGGTGCACAGGGCACAGACTTGGTGTATGGCACTAGAGCAGGGGCTGAGCTCTAATGTCCCTTCCTATGGCTTCATTTCTTTGGGAAGGAGGAAGCAGGTAGCCACATGCAAGGGTGGGGTGTGCTGGCCAAAGGTCAGTTAGCGAATGCCTGTTGGAAAGCCTGAGAGGCACCAGAGTGAGGCAGCACCATGTCCTGTACTAACCCTGTCAGGCCCATGGATAGGCCAAGTGGGCACAGCCAGCCAGGGGACGGAGCCCACAGATCTGGAGCCAAGAGGTAGGGGTCTCTGTAACGGAATGAGACCTCCCAAGGCATCTTCTGTATGGGCTAATGGCCAGCTGCCCCAGGCCTCCTCAGCAGGAACTGTGAGACTTCCTCCAACCACCCTCCCTTACCAGTGCTGGGGATGCTCAGACATGAAGGCCCTTTCCATTTTGCAGTGCTGTGGGAGCCTGACCACACTGGGTCACCCCAGTCCATAGCCCCTGCCTGCATAGAATTCCAGTGCAGACCTCCATGGGCCTGGGAATAGCATGGGTGGGCCAGATATGAGAGTCTTGAAAGGCACTGGGCTGTAGGGAACTCAGATGAGCCCCTGCCTGTGTGCTGTAGGACCTGGACCCAACTCAGTGCTGACTAAGGACATGGCCCAGGGCCTGTTAGAAGGGGCCTGATGAAGGTGCCACGCAGGGTTGGTATGGAGAGTTTTATTGAAAGAAGTCAGTGGTCATGGGGCTCACAGGGGCCAGCCCTCTGTTCCTAGGCTGTTTGGGGACAGATGATGTGGCCCCTGGGGGAGGCAGCATAAGCCTCCAGGGGAGGGGTGGCCTTTTCTTGAGGGTGCTGGTAGCTCCTTTGCGTCCAGGGGCCAGGACTGGCCCTAGCTTAGAGCTTCTGGCCTGTCTCCAGGGACTTGGGATGACTGGCTGTCCCCTTTTGCCAAGACTCGAAGGTGCTTGAAGGCAGTGGGCAGCCTATGGCCCAGGAATGGAGGGGTGGTTACATCACAGATCATGAGCACGTATTCCCCTGTGAGGGATGGACAGAGCTATCATCAGGCTAGTGTGGTCACTGTAACCCAGGCTCCTGTTCACCATCCCCTGGGTACCTGGCCTGGGCTTCTTAGCCCTCCACCACTTTCTCAGGTCCTGTACTAGTTCCAGGGCCAGGCTGCCATCCTGGGACTGGTTACTTGACCAGCAAGATGAAGATGTGAGTTTGAGAGAAAGGAACCAGCTCTTCAAACCCATGCATCCTGAAGACCAAGGTTTGAGTCATGATATTGTGAGATCTTGATAGATGTTTGAATAGCCCCCAGGTCAGGCCACCAACATCTCTGCTCCCAATTGCTAATTAGGCCACGTGGCAGAGTCTTTCTTTGTAAATACTTTCCTACATTGTTTTTTGAGGAAAAGCATTCATTTTTCTCTGTTTAAGAAATGGCTGAGCCTCTGAAGGTGCCTGGTGGGGTCCTGAGGCCCTAGCAGGGGAGAGTCTGGGGCCTGAGCAGCCCTGCTTGGGGGTGGAGGAGAGGGAAAGCACTTTTCCCTTTCTGCAATCTGTAAACTGTCTGGAGAGCTTCAAAGTTGGAGAAACCATAAAAAAGAAAATAAGAAATAACAAAAAGGGAAGTTGCCATAGAAACGGACCTCTCTCCCTCCCCTGAGCCCGCTGGGGCTGGCACCAGAGTGTGGAAAAAGCTCCTTGGCTGGCCCAGGCTCACACCAGGAATGTGGCCACAGCTGAAACCGGGCCGGAGCCCACTCCCACCATCCCAGCACAGCAGAGCCCAGCCGAGTGGCATTCCAGTCACTGAGTGAGCGGTTACTCTCCGTCCTGGCCAGGCAGAGGGCTGCGCCTTCCTGTGCAGGATGAGAGCGGGCCTGGGGGCTCGAAGAATTTGCTTGGCCCCGAGCCAGTTCCATCAGAGAAACTGTGGTTCTGGGAGGCCTGTGGGCTAGGGCTGAGGCACCTGGGGAGGGGGATGCACATTCCAGCGTCTAGCCACGGCATCAGGCCAACCTCTCTGGGAGCTGGAAGAAAAGCAGTGCATAGCGACACCACAGCGTTCCCAAGCAGCCGCGTCTCTAGGCGTTCCCAGGAACACGCAGCTGCACCAGGCTCAGCCAAGGGTGCTGGCCCGGGGAGCTGGTGTGAGCTCACGGCCTCAGCTGCAGAACCAGGCCGCAGGCCTGATCTGACCCTGTGCCTGGGGCCTGTCCCCATCCGATGCGAAAGACTAGCGGGAGAGGTGCTGACTGACCGGTGGCTGTGCACGGGAGGCCCGACCCCAGCACCAAGTTGTCTAGGTGTGAGCCCTGGGCCTGGTGTCCTTGAAGGCCAGCTTGCTGAGAGGCTTGGTTGTCACTTGGCTTTACCCTGTATGGCACCCTCAGTCCCTGGAACTAGCACAACTCTGATAGTCATCCCTGGACCAATGACCCTTCTCCCTGGCCTGCGGCTCTGCTGGCAAAGGCCCTGGAGCCCACAAATTCCTCTCACTGTCCAGAGGGGTCAGGCAGAGGAGTGTCCGAGGGGCTGAGATTCATGTCCACTTTGTCTTCTCCCTACACCCTCCTGGTCCAGCTGCTGATGGCCTCACTGTGGTCTGGCCCTTTGCTAGTCTGGCCACTGCCGGCTTGACAGCCACTCTTCTGAAATGGTGAGGAAATAACCCACCTCCTCTTAGACACCAAAGACCTCTCTTTCTACCCCAGCCAGCTCCTGCCTTTCTGGAAGGAATCTTCCTTAGCTGCCTCCCAGCCTCAGCCTCTCCCCATCCAGGTCTGGAAGGGGTTTCTAATGTTCTGCTACCCACAACCCACATGCCTCCACCCACCTCTGGGGTACCTGGACATGTGCCTTCCCTGCACCTCACCACCACCCACAGGGAAGTGATGCCTGTCTCTTGCCGCCTGCCTCTGCAGATGTGGGCCCAATGTGATGGGCTTCTGTGGACCACAGATAAATATCTACCTAGATATGCCGCTGCTGACAGCTCCACTGTAGTCCCATTAGACCTGTGGGGAGAAGAAGAGGGAGGGACACCTTGAGGGTCCTGCCCAGTCCCCTCATATGTTGCATCCACCTAAACCAAGGCCAGCAGCTCTGGGGCAGATGTAGGGCTCCAGGACAACAGAGACCATAGTGCCTACCTGTATGTAGCATGCCTCTGTAAGGCTCCTCTCTACCTTCCAGGGCTGTGCATACCCCTGGGTTATGGCTGTAGTGGCCAGCCTTAGAATACCCTCGAGTAGCCCATCCTGGCTCTCTGTTGACCAGGCCCCACTGGAAGAATGCTGTCTAATGCCTGAGAAGCCCAGGGCTGCTGGGCAGAAGTGTAACAACCATCTCACGCTGACCAGTGCTGCTTCCTCAGAACCAAGGTATGGCTTTGGGGATGCTGGAGGCTCATATGCCCAGCCTAACACATTGTGGAAGAGGAGTTGGGAGCTGGTCAGAGGACAGCTAAGGCCCAGGTCTGCTCAGAGGCTGCCAAGGAGGGCATTTATCTTCCAGTAAAAAGTGACTTAGGGGCTGGGGAGATGGTTCAGGTCAGTAAAGCACTTGCTTTGCAAGCACAAGGACTTGAGTTCAAGCCCTAGAACCCAGGTACAAATGTTGGGCGTGATAGGACATGTTCATAATCCCAGCACTGGTGAGGTGGGGACAGGAGGATCCCTGGGCTTGTTGGCCGCCAGACCAGCCTGACTAGTGGGCTCCAGGCCAATGAGACAGCTTGTCTCAAAGTAGACAGTGTTCCTGAAGATGACACCCGAGGTTGTCCTCTGGTCTCCACATGCATGTGCACACACATGCACACATTTTAAGAAAAGATGACTAGGGCTGAGGCACCCATGAGAGTGGTGATACTGGCCAGTATCACCGGGGAATCTCCTGAGTGGAGAAAGGAAGAGGCAGGCAAAGACAGAGGGAGGTTCTACACTAGGCCCCTCTGCCTGAGGCTCTGCTCTGACTCCTGTGCCTGAGGGATGGAGACCCTCACTGCTGGCCACAGGCCCATATAAACTGGCAGGGTTACCAAGGTGGGTCCAACCCCCATCTGACAGAGGCTTTGGACCTGAGCCCAAGCCCCACATGGGGTCCCCATCGTTGGTCTCTGAAAGCAGTGAATGAGGACTGGTCCAGCTTTCAAGGCACACCCTGAAGAAGGACCAACTGCCTGGACAGGTCATCTGTGGAGGATCTGGCAAAGCCCCGCTGAAGAAGTGTGACGGAGGAATGTGACAAAGTGGGGCCCTCTGGTCATTCCGGGTTTGGATCTCTGAATGAAGGTTTCAGTCTCTCCTGTCTCCTGATGGGATGAGGGTGCTGGCTCTGTGTAGACACCTGGCTTCAATCCAAGATGTGTTGAGCTGGGCTGTGTACTGAATGATGGGTCCCCGTGGACGGGGAGGAGCCTTGACGCTGGAGCCGCTTGGGCCTCCTCCCCCACCTTCCCCTCTGGGGCAGGCGATTTCCTGTCACTAGTGGCTCAATGTGGCTGACAGCCAAAGCAGGGCTAGGGGCAATGTGGAGGGTCCCTGCCTAGGTGGAGCTTAGTGACCAGCTGATTTTGATCCTTTGACAAACTTAAAGGGCACATGCCTGGTTTGGGTAATGAAAAATTAAAGACAAAAGATTTTAAAGTGACTTCATTTTAAGTGGGGAAAACAGGCCTGGGCTGGAGCCCCAGGAGTCACCGTAAAGACTGAAGTGTGGGTGAGGAGGAGACTAGATAAAAAACTTAGTAGCAAGAATAACTAGAGCCTGTCAAGCCACCAGCTTTAAGAGAAATAAAGGGGGTCACAAGACTCAGAGTTTCTAGAGATCCCCCCCACCAGGGCTTTGAGGAGGAGCTGGCATCTGGGGACCGGGCCCTCGGAGCAGATGATTAATCGGGCAGTGGAGGGAGGCATGTGATCAGGCCTGAGACCAGGTCCCAAGGAGACCTGGGAAATGGTGCTCAAGAGAGAGCCATGCTGTAGTGCCTGGTGGCTGTGTGAAGGAGGGGCTCCCACGGGCCCCAGAGATGTGGATTAGGAAGGAACTGTGTGCACTGGGATCCTGATGGACCCTATTACAGTCTATCTAGGCGGAGATGCCATCCCAGACCGGGAGGGACCTATGAGTTGGCCTGGCATCTTTGGGTGAACTTGGATCCCCTCTATTCTGCACAATCCCCTTGCTTTTGAGACAGGTAAGGCTAGCCTGGAACTCACCTTATAGACCAGGCTGGCCTCAAATTCCCAGAGTTCCGTCTATGCCTCCTGAGTGCTGGGATAAAAGATGTGTGCCACCATGCCCAGTACTCTTTCTTTTTTAAAAAATTTAAAATATTTTACTTATTATTTTATGTGAAGAAGTGTATTGCTTGCAGGTATGTAAGTGTACTGTGTTGTGCAATGCCCACAGAAGTCAAAAGAGGGTATCAGATCTCCTGGAACTTGAGTTACAAATGGTTGTTATCATGTGGGTGCTGGGAATTTAGGAATTGAACCTGGGTCCTCTGCAAGAGTAGCCAGTGCTCTTAACCACTGAGCCATC